TAAAATGAATTTATTTTGGAATACTGTGTAGTTAAGATAGCATGCACCATTAATTATTAGTGTCATATGAATTTGGGAAGTAGATTAAGACAATACACTTTTCGTAGACAAAACCAAACAATATTGTGATAGACTTGAGGGTTTCAGTAACTGACATGGATCAGCAGCTAAAATTTTGAAAAGATAGGCAACAGGATTGATGTTACATGGACATATATTATTGTGCTGGAAGGTAATTTGTTCTTCACAATAGAGATCTCGCCCCAATTACTTTCTAAGATTGGTTGTTGACTTCTGTGGCATCCTGACTGTCTTCACCATAATCGCTTTTGGTAGAAAGTTTCATATTCTGGTTTGTGTGCGTACTTTATTAGGTGCGGACGAAAATCTTATTTGTCCTTAATCTCTCCTCGTTCTAGAATTGTCGAAGTGGATTCGAGTCTTTTTTGGGTGATTTAAGGGAGACTGGCACGAGAAACAATGCTGAATAGTTGCCATTAGGTAAATTAGTTAGGGGCGCACCATTTAGTTTGTCTTGTGAGTGGCAGCACTACATACACCTCTCTACGTAGGCGAACTGATAATACTTTGCTGCATGAATTGATGCTGTTTTGTTTATGTAATCATTCTTTTAACGTCTACTTTACTAGCAACTGTCAAAGCGAACAGCATGATGTGGATTCTTATTCTGCTGCCATCCCTTCTTATAGCAGTTTCTGGATTTTTCTTAATAGTCCCCTTCTTTCTCGACTACTTCACTCCAGACGTTTTTAAAGACCCGATATAGCGGCAAGGATTCTAACAGTGCTTTTTAGACATACATTGTGGTCTTTCAGGCTAAGTATATAAAAGTATAGTTGAATCGCTCTGTAAGAGCCAATCTAAAAACGTTTGTGCGTATTTGATAGTTACGTTGTTTATGTATAGACTTGGTATTTTATTTACGGAAAATTCTGTTTGACTTACTATCTTCCTGCCTGAAAGAGTTAGCTATTTGTTATGAAGCTAATGAGTTTTTTGGGGTTATTCTTATTCCTGGCTTAATTGTATTACTAATACAGTCATTTTTTTTGTCATTTTTTCTGCAAAATTGTAAGTGATTGCGTACTGTCGTCACTTCGCGGTCTCCATAACAACTCTTTTAACTGCTAAGTTGATTCAGTTTTTCAAAAGAAGTTAGTTTTGTTTTTCGCTGAGCGGCTTCAAAATACTTTCCAGAATGTTACAGGGGAGATTTTGAGTTTTTTCTATTGAGAAGTTTTTTTGTGTTGAAAAAGCTTAAGATTTTTCAGCCGCGTGTACTCATTACATCTTTGCTACTTTTTAGCTTATTGACCTATCCTGGTTGTTGCCAATTTCGCTCTATCCTATTATTGATTCTCACTATTCGTGTTTGCTTCCTGCAGCATGTTTTTTGGCTCATCTGGTTTCCATGAAGGCAATGAAGACAAGGAGAACTTTTCCCGATCTAGTCGCTATAGTTTTATGGTACCGGTTTATTGTTTTGGGATTAAGGATGAGAGGATTTATTGATTTGATATTCGATGTTTACTACCCTTGTCCCTGTATTCTTTTTATTTAGCAACACTTTCTTAGTCTAAATATGTAGCTTCGTTCATCTCAGTAAAAATGTTGAACTGCTTATAATTTCAGGTTCATTCTAGTTGGCCTGAAACTTAAACGCCGCACCGAGGACGTTATAGTTTACCAACTTGGATTTTCAGCTTTTCTTAGTATTGTTGCATTTGCTGTAACGTTTCTTCCTAGGAAACGTTTACATCGGAAGAAGCCTAATTCCATAATACAGAGGTTCCCAGTAATATGTGTTCAACCTTTAAGGATGCCCTATTAGGGTCATTTCCTAGTTCTCAGTTTTATAAGAGATTTTAGTATCTGTCTTGTCAAGTCTTTTATTTTACTTATAGGATTTACCACTAAATTAGATGCGTTTTTAGTGCATTTTCCGTTGCAAGCACTCCTCTCTCTCAATGTAGTACACTCACAGCCCGTTCTACTCAAAGCCGGTTGTGTTCTGCGCAGCAAGAATTACCTTTTACGGATGATGAGGATGACGAATCGCAGTCCATTCAAAGACGTGCAAGGGATTTTTCTCCTTCCAGAGAACTTAGTTCTAAATTTGGAGGGTTAAGTTTAGGCAGAAGCATGTTGGAGGACTCTGAAGTTCTGCGTCGTAGAGGTATGATTTTTCAATGGAACAATAACCAAATTTGTAGTAGTGACTGCCATAAGAATAGTGTTGAATTGTTGAAGTAGCTAATTTACTTTTTAATTCCTATCGGTTCTTCGAATTATGTTATTTTAATTTATCATTTCCTAGTATTTTTCCAGGGCCATTCGGATCGATGAGGAAGCCTGTTCTTGCTCCGTCTCGTTTCAGCACTTACTCTGACGCTTTAAGGGAAGAACCCGTTTATTCTTGTTACGCTTCCTCTACTGTCCCATCGATGATGACTTCGGTGAGCCAGTCAGCAGTTCAGGCAAAATTTTCTTTAGTTAATGTCATTTGTTTCTCACTTTTGAGTGTCAGTGTTTGCATCAATTTAGCTTTGTTATATTATATATTTTATGTGAAGTGTTCTTAGAATGTAGAGCGTATTTGTGGTTAGCTATTTTAAAGCTTTATTTCCTTTTTTTGTTGGAATTATTATGATGGAGGGTTGTGTGCAAGTAAGTTTGAGGTTTTTTACATGGAGTCGAAGTTGTCTTCAGGTTTATGTTATTCAAATGATCTCTTTTTTAGCTTGTGTCGAATCATTATTGTAAGTTTGCTTGTCTCCGTTTCTCTTCCTCACTTATCAGAGGGCAGCCCATGATGATTCTAATACTCGCTGATCTTTTGAACAACATTTTTACTCCGTTTCCCTGCGCTGTTAATACGCGAGGGTCGTAATGAATGTCACGCATTTTGCCACACTATTCCTTTTTTTTTTTTT